TATAATGACATAGTTGAATGATGAACACATTGATTATTACAACTTTTTACCAAATAAATATACAATCATATATAGACATTGATAAAGGTGGTGGGTTTCTAATTGTCTGTATGAATAAATTGAGCAGACATAAAGAACAAACAAGTATTTTAAAGTCCATTCTAAAGGTTCATGTTTTTAAGTATTTTTGTGATTCAGGTGTAAAAAAAAATATCGATCAAACAGATGGCCTTTTTTTTTTTAATTTCTTCAATAATTTTTTAGATTAAACTAAAATATATTTACACATATTTAAATAAAAAATGTTTTAATTTGATCTGAAAGACCCAAGATTAGTAAAACTAATTTAGTATGATTTGGTATAATATTGAAAATTTTAACCTTTTTTTTATTTTATTATTTGTTTATTTTTTATTTTATTATACTATTAAGCATCAAATTTTGTAATAATATTACTTGTTAAATAACTTTTTTGAAGACCTTGGTATTTTTTTTTTTATAACATATCAGTTAAACCTAGAACTCTTAAATTGTTTTTAATATCAATACAATATCAAATTTTTTTAATATTAATAAATGTAAACAAAACTCTGTTGCTTAAGAATTTCTATGCACCTATTATTATAGCCGTATAATATGTTCAAAAGTTTGATATATATAGATAATAGTATGAAAAAAAAGTTTGAATATATTGTGTATATATAGATTAGGACTCCTATTAACAATATTAAAAAGTCACATAACAAACCTAAAATTTTCACTTTTCTAAAAGTCATTGAATCCTTCTCAATTTGCTTTTGTGCTTGGTCCTTATAATGGTACAACTAATACTCTGCTAATGGTGATTTTTTGGACTTTAAAAAAACTCTTACCCTCAGGTGGATATGTTCAATGCATAAGTGTTAACTTTAAAGAAGTATTTGATAAAATCTTTTATCTAGTTTCTTTCTTTGAAGCTTAAAATGAATTTAAATTAACAGACACTGTTTTATTACGGATTAAATCATATTTGTGTCACCATTCTCAAAAGATCATTATTTCCCGTATCTCTTCAAATTCCATCCCCTGGACCAATACCACTAGTGGAGTTCTACAAGGGTTAGTGCATGTACCACTTCTCTTTGCCATTGTAGTCAATGGTAATTTTAGTCTATCCTTAAAGCATCTTGAAAGCAATTGCCTTAGATTAATCAAAAAAGTTGCCTAATTAAATGATGACTCGCTTCAAGCAATGCTTTTAGTTAAATCTATTGTGCAAAATCTCAGGAAATTTGCATAAGTTGCAACTTCTACACCCTAAATCGATTGATTAACAAAATCTATTTGAGGTTTTAATAAATTCTTATAAATATCTAGATATTGTATTTATTTATAAAGTAAATAGTAATATATTATTATATATATTGTGTATATTATTGCTTATAAATGTATTTAACAATCAACAATTTAATTTTTAGGTCACAAACTTACTTATTAACTTGCATATTTTTACGCTTGTTTGTGTATTTAAAATACTGTTGTTTACACACAAAAAAAAAACATTTTTTAAATACTTGTGTTTAACTAATTTTTTTTTGTATGTCTTTTTTTTATTTAAATTTTTTATTTATTTCCTGACAAACAAAAATTTTCAAATTTTTGACATATACAAAATGATACCATACATTACCAGACCATAACCATTTTAAAATTGCTGTTAATTGAATATTATTTTGGTTGAACTTAATTCTCAATTATAAATAATAAAGTTTAAACAACTCTTCTTAAAAAATGAAAACTTTTTTTTTGTTTAGATACTGGTCATCATTAAAAAATTTGATTACATCATTATTAAGTAGCATTAAATCTATTATCAGCTTGATATTTCTTTTATTCTTATTTATTCTTATCTTTGCTTTGTTGGGAATGCAACTTTTTGGTGGTGGGTATGTCATGTTTTGTTTTATTTATGTTTAGTAACTGGCATACCTTTTTTCTAATTCTTGAAGTCATAGTAATTTTTGTAAATATAATTTTAAGAGACTGTTTTCTTTTAACAGATTTTCTTATAAAATTCCACCATTACGTACTAACTTTAATGATTTTGGTAGTGCAATGTTGGCTGTATTTCAGGTTTTTATTTTTTTATTTATTTGTATTTATAATTGGTTGTAAAACATGATTAAATTTAAGTTGTCAAACATTTGTTTGATGACTTAAGATCCTATAACACTGGATAATTTTATCACACCTCACTGTATGAACTGTATCACACCTTTTTTTTTTTTAATTGACCTCCCCAAGGCCATGAAGGCCACTACAGACAAGGAGGCTACTTTAGTTGTGGTTACAATCCTCTATCAACTTTATAACTCTTAAACACAAGCTTTGATAAACAAGGCCACTGTGCAGAGAAACAAGTTGAGCACGGTACTACCAGGGATGTGGACCTCACTGTATGAGCTGTATTACATATCACTGTATGAACTGTATGACACTGTATCGCACTGATTTGAGAGTACAAAGCTTTAAGGTTCATAATATTTAATTTTTCAGATATTGACAGGCGAAGATTGGAATACTGTGATGCATGAAGGGATATTAGTTTATGGAGGTCCAAAATCTGCCAAAGGTTTAAGTGTTAGTTTGTACTTTGTTACATTAGTTGTTCTTGGAAATTGTATCTTTTCAAACATTTATGAGCTGAATTCAGTTGATTATTATTCTTATGATTACATTATGTGTTTTTTTTTTTTGTTTTTTTTTTTTTGAGATAATCAAACATTATTTTTTGATTTTTATGTAACCTTTCTGATAAATTGATTGTATTTGAAAATTGAACATTTTAATTTAATCTTTTAATATTTCATCTTTTTTTTTTTACCTATTAAATATATTTATAAACTTAACTTTTTTTTCTCGATACTCTTTTAAATGTGTTTTTGGCAATTGCTGTTGATAATTTAACAAATGCACAAGAAATTAGCGAAGATGAGGCTTCAGAAGAAAAAGCTAGATTGCAACATAATAAAGAGATAAAACAGAAATATGCACCAAAAATAATGGAAACGTATGTTTTTCTTTTATTTCTGTGTTAATAAGAGTTATTGTAATTGTGTAATTTAAAAAATAAAAATAATTTAATAAATATATTTTTTTTGTCAGTGCATATTAATTGTTTTCTTAAATTTGGCATATTTATGTTTTCTATTTTTTTTCTTTTTTTAATCAATTTCTGCCACTCTCACTGTTTTGCTCAGCAATTCTTACCATCTTTTTCACCAACTCCCACAATTGTCTTTCTGTTACGTTTTTACCACTATCACCATTTTTTTCACCTTTGCCACTTTCGCAGTCTTTTTTTACTCTATGCTACTTCTTCTTGTTCACTCAATTTCATTCCTGTTCTCCTGTTTATTTTTTATTACAAAGCTTGAAAACTTATTAATTAAAAAAAATGTGTTACATAAACACAGGTGTTCCGTAATATTCATTATGCTTGTGGACTGTATGAACACTTAATATTCATTGTGCTTGTGAACTGTTAAAACACTTAATATTCATTATGTTTGTGGACTGTAAAAACATTGTCATTATTTAATGTTAATTAATTTTAATGTTATGAATTATAAATGATGATTTGCAGTAAATAAGCTTTAAAAGTTTTGTTAAAAATTTTATTGAGTTGAAGTTCATCAATTTTTACAAACTGAAAAAAGTTGATGTTTATGCTATTTTATTAACAAATTGCCCTGATATTTGGTGTGTGTGTGTGTGTGTAAGCAATATGTTTTCGCCATCGATTGCAAACAAATAGTTTTAATTTATGTCTTCCAACAATGCCAAATTGAACTTGGTTGGCTTGTATTAATTCAACTTGAACGTGTGTAAATCATCTTCATGATTGTCCTCAAAGTTAATGCTTTCTAGAATTACTAATCCCAAGTCTTTTTCAATGCAGAGTTAGATAAAATAAAAATCTTTATCCTATATGTGTTGATAATATCTCTATTTACTTTTAGACAAACAAAATTTTTGAACACATTCTACATGAAAGTAATCATTCAAAGCAACATAGTGAGCCTAATGCCAGATTTGATCTTGACAGATTTGATCTTTGATAACAATTTAAAATGCTCTACCACTACCACATTAATTGACTGTAGTGAACCATTATATTATATATATAATATAAAACCACTGCACAAATTTAAAAAAATAATATAAAACCACTATATAAATATAATATAAAACCACAAATTTCTTATCTTGACCAATTTAATTTATGCAGTTGTGAAGTAGTGGTAGAGCACTCATTTAATAAGGGAGAGGTTCCAAGTTTGATCCCTATCGCATTCCTGGTATCCTTGTTCGTCAAGGTTCGTGTGGTGGAGTTAAGAGATAACCACAATTAAGAAGCCTTCTTGTCTGTAGTGGACTTCTAAATATATATAATTTAAATACAAGTTCGACTTAATTATTAATATAACATCTTAATGGTTGTCATTAAGATGTTGTATCAATATTTAATATTAATATGACAACATAATGCATATAATTTAAATATAATAAGATTCTATTTTATGTTGTTGTATTATTATTATAACTTAATGAGATATAACAATATTATTATGATATTGTATTATATGATGTTATATTACTATAATTTATAATAATTTAACATCTTAATAAGGTGTTAAATTGATATGATGCAGTTATATTTGTGTTAATATCTATGATTATTGTTAACTTTATAACAATATATACAATTTATATACATAAATTTATATACATAAGTTGTATTATAATAAGGTTCTTTATAATATATAAATCTGTCAATATAACTATATATGAATCATAATAATATTATGCCATTTTTAATATTTAGTGATTTTAACCCTTTATTTACCAAGGTAACTTTTAAAATTGTTAACACTATTAACACTTTTTTTCAACATCTGTTTTGTAGAATGAAAAAACATTAAAACATTTTAAAAGGTTTTGCCATGGAAATAAATTAGGGACTAATAAGACCCTAGTAAGTTTAATAAGTCTGGTATTTCCGGCTTCAACATTTTTGAAAGTTCAAATTAAAATACAATAAAGTTGTTCTATAACAAATTATGAATAAATTAGATTATAACAACACAATAGAAACAAAATATTTTTTTAGTTGATACATGATACAAAATGTTCATATTGTTTTTTTTTTGCAATGAATTACAATTCATGATATTTAGCAAAACAATTTCTCTTATCAATCAAGTATAAGTATACTTCACAAGCACTAAATTTTATATGCGGACAAGCTTCTCATTTTTCTTGTGCACATACCTTGCAACGACAATGCTTACTGTCAAATTTTGGCCAATGAACGCCTAAATTTACTTTTCTAATTGCTGAGGATACCGAATAAGTCAATGGGTTTCTTTTTTTTGATGGGCCTTGCTGGGTTGAGAATATCAATGGCCATCTTACTTTTGAAAAGTGCTCAAGAGTGATCAAAAGACTTTTTGTTTTGACTCCTGTAATTTTATTGAATGCAATAAATGAGTTACATAATGCTCTTTTAATTAAACCAAAAAAGATCCGATGACACCATTTTTTAGATTTCTGTAATAACCCATATGAAGAAATCAACTAATGTCATTGTCACCCATAAAGATATTGTAATATTTTACTAAAACAGGGTAATTAAAATATTCTCTTGTTCCATCTTTCTGTGTTCTTAAAACAGTTGCATGTTCTGTTCCATGAAAATTAGACAATATGGTCACAGTTATCTTTCCATTTGTTAAATACTAATCCTCCAGCAGAAACCTGATGGTTAAAGTCACCTCTTTGAAGTATTTTATAATTTTTTTAAGATTTTTGGCAAGTATTTCCTGTTTGAACGCATTGTTCCATAACAATAGACTTTATGTTATAAAAGGTATTCCATTAATGGAACAGTGGTAAAATAGTTGTCAAAATAGACCTGATGATGTTTTCTGTGCAAAGACTTTGTTAGATGGTTCAGAACAGATGATTTTGACAATCAGAAAAATGATCTTTGACCGGACCTTTGTGAGTTGAAAATAGAGTTTCAATTTGGTTTTTAGTCTTTTTAGTCCATTTTCCAATCTTATTCAACATTATAGTCCTCTTTGTCAATGCTGATGTCTTCCATGATACTTTCTGAATCATTGGAGATTTCTGATTCATTTTTGACATGTTCCAGTAATTTTAGAGCATCTGGTATAAATTCATCTTCAGAATCACTTGACTCTAGCCCTCCCTAAAATCACTAAGGATTTCCTCTATAATGTAGCGAGCAGCTTCTTGGGGGGTGTAAATAAATTTTTATTTTTTATTGAACTAATAAAAAAGTACTAGCTGTCTAGGACATTAAAAGTTATCATATCTAAATGATAACTTTTAATGTCCTAGATACGAAGATTAAACTTATTGATTGCGTAAACACTAACTTTAACATAAATGGCATTTGCGAGACACTTCTTGCAACGAAAAAACAAAATTTTGAAATTTGTGAACGATTTTTTTTCTCTCGTTAGCGAAGTTGGTTCTGTGTCAAAATGCGAGGATCAAACTTTTGATTAATATCTTTACATATGTTGTCTATATACAATATCTATAAAACTTTATAAGTATTTGAATTTGTATTTAAAATAATCTAAAAAAAAATTAAAACAGTAGTCGCCAATGGTAGGACTTGAACCACGGCAGCTCTGATCCGAAGCCCAGCGCGCTAACCACTCGACTACGCTGACGCACTAAGAAATTAAGATTCAAAATTATATAAAAATTGTTTTTAACGGATATAAATGCAAAAGATTAGAAATAGGTATTATGCTAATATTAAATAGTTTAACTTTTAATTATTTTTAGAAACAATAAATTTTATAAAATAATTTAGTGTACATATAAAATTAAAATCTTTAATTATGTTCTAAATAAAAATATACTTTTTAAGCCCCCTTACCATTTTTAAAAAAAGTTATGGTCGCCGCCTGGCAAGTTCATCAGCTTGGCACGCGGTTTTGTTGTTTAAAATACAAATCAAAAATTATATAGATTTTATATTCTATATATAAACATGTTTTTTACTAATTTTCCTTGCTCAATTTAGTTGTAAATAAACTTGAAAAGTTTAACTAAAATAACATGAGTATCTCAATAATGACACATGCGCAAAAGAAATAAAAAAGAAGGTCGCCGATGGTAGGACTTGAACCACGGCTGACTTGGTCAAAAGCCCAGCGCACTAACCACTCTACTACGCTGTCACGTAGTGTCTTGAAGATTTCAAATTATATAAAAATTCTTTTTAACGGATAAAAACACAAAAGATTAGAAATTAAGCAAAGGTTGACGAAATGCAGTTCTTAAGTGAAAATAAAACTGTTGAACTTGATATATGTTTAAGCATGTTTTAACATTACATAACATGAAGTTTATGTACGTACAATATGAGTTTCATGTTTGCTCGCATTTTCTTATAAAGCAAAGGTAAGACTCTTTCTCGTCACTACCTCGGATGCAATGGTTGCCAAGAGTATCGTGTCAAACAGGCTCGAAAGCGCACTACTACTACTATTAAGTCCAGTATTATTATAAAGAGATGAAAGAAATACAATATAATCATAAAAAACAAAAGAATAAAGATTAATATTTTTTTTGTCAATTTTGAGGCAGTAACACCTGGCGGGAAAAATTAGTCCCACAACAAAATTTAGAAAAATATAACATAAAAATGCAATAAAAACTCATCAAAACAACATAAGTTTTTATTTACTATAACAAACATCAACTAAAAAAATTCCCAATGCACAAACATATTAAAGGTTAAATATAGTTAGTGGCTATATTTTTCAAGTCAAGAAAACAATTTATTAGAACTGTGAGCTTTAGTAGACATATTGTAAACCAAAACATGTGCTTTTGGGCAATGACTTTTGATATTTTTTTATATCAAGATATTAGAAGGTATATCTAAGGTTAATTTCTATAAATAAATATCTTACATTTTTACTGAAAAATATAGCCACTAACTTCCAGCGGGAGTAATAAGTCCCGTCGGTAAACAAAGTTAATGTTATGCCAAAGTTAAGGTAGCTTATAGCTAACATAACTTTTTTTGAACTGAGCAAGTTTTTAAAAAGTTTGGTGAATACCAACTGCCCAAGTTTTCTGATTATGAATTTCACAGTTTTGAACTTACGCCAAACTTACACACAAAAAATTTGGTAAGTATGCTCCCAGTCACTTTAGTTTTGTAAAAATTATTGAGCTGAAATTCATTTTTACTTAAGGAAAAAAAATTAAGAAACATAAAAAAAAAGTTTTTTTTATTATTTAATTACAGATCTTGCAATATTTACAAATAAAATATTTCTTTTTTAGCGAAAGTTTGCCGGTCAGTGTTAATACAAAGGTAATTTTCTAGGTTGAGAAATATTTTTTTTTAAATAAACTATATATTAACTATTTTGTTATCACAAATTTCTAAATAATTTAATTTTTTGAAACAGAAAAAACTTTTACTTTTCATGCATAATGTTTATTGGTGGAAATGAGAATTAATTTTAAAGGTAAAGGCACAAAAAAGACAATTCATTTTGTCATTTTTGTCTGGAACTTAGGTGAATCTTGTTCTGTCGGTTTTTAAACATATTACAAATTCTATGCTTTATGCATCAAATCTTTTTAAAACAATTTTTAGAGTATTAAAAAATGAAAAAGCAAAAATTAAGACAAATTTTAAATTTTAAATTCTTAAAAAAAGTTAAACATTCATGGTTCCATGGGTCTCCAATATGTGGTTTAAACTTATATTGTTGTTTTATAAATATATTATGGAAAAGTTAAAGCAGTTTTCAATTGGATGCCCTTTCTGGCATTATTCTGATTTCAGTATTTTTATTGTGATACTACTACTAGAAATCATTCAATCAAAATTCATCCATCCAATCAAAAGTTATCCATCCAATCAAGTCACCCATTTATCCAATCAAAAGTTATCCATCCATCTAATCAAAATTCATCCATCCATTCAATCAAAAGTCATCCATCCATTCAATTAAAAGTCATCCATTGTTAACTTCTCTTAATCTTACAATAAGTTTTGGAGTTTTTTTATCAGAATTTATTCTTTTTCTAAAAAAGTTGCCTTCACCCTCACTATGGAGTGTCACTTTCCCCATATGAATTAAAATGTGCTGGGTTATATGTTACAGTGTCATGGTAACCTGACCTGTCTTAACAGTGTAAAAGCAGCTTTAAAAGTTTAAAATATTTAAATACTGTGCCAAAGCAAGTACTAAGTAAGACTAAAGGAGTAAGTGAGCCACTCTTTTTATAATATAATAAAGTATAACATAATAGTTCTGTTATTTTTATGTTAAAAGAATAGTAAGTTGTTCAAAAGTGCAAAAATTGAAGATTAGAGATGTATGCTGAATAGAGATTTTTGAAAATTACAAAAGACCAAGATGATTAAAATATACTGAAGTTTCTGATAATTAAAAAGAATTTTTTGTGCATAATTGTTATTATTTTTCTTAAAAGTTAAATAAATTTAATGGTTTGAAATGTAGTTATTGTGTTTTGAGTTAATTTTATGCTGGTTCTTTAAGTTGATTGTGTTTCTGTTTTAAGTTAATTTTTTCGTTTATTCACTTGATTCTTTAAGTTGATTGTGTTTGTGTCACAAGCTGATTTTATATTGGTTCTTTAAGTTGATTGCGTTTGTATTTAAGTTGATTTTTAAGACATAAATACAACTAATAATAAAATGTTAAATCAAAAAATTAAAAAAGTATTCTCATTAGATTTGTTCATCATGATCAACATGCCAAATTAAGACATCTTGATCAACAATGTTGTTTGTTATGCTGTTTATCATAATGTCATGATGCTGTTTATGTAATGGTGCTGTTGAAACCATGGAATTATATTAACATAATGAATTATGATGTAATTTTGTCGTCTTTCATAACATTATGTTGTTGATGTTCAAATTATCATGTTGTTGATCATAGCTTCTCTATTTAAAAAGAGTATTTATTTATAGAATAGATATTATGGTATTTACAAAAAGCATTAAATTTTTCTTTTTGTTGTTACAAAGCATGTTAAATATTTTTTTTTATGTTTAAAAATTATGTGTTCTTGTTTGATATTTTATTTAATATAATTTTTGTGAAATATTTTTTAGGAAAAAAAGGTAAAAACAAATGAATTTGACACTTTTCCATACGAAGGTAGGTGTAGTAAAGAAAATTAAACTTTTTCTTTTTTTTTGAAAATTTATAAATATTAACTTTGAACTTTTATAAGGAACCCTTAAAATGTGACACAAAATCCACCCATTCTAGATTTAAAAAAAAATATGTATTATTACATTATGTATGTATATGTATATTAGGCTGGATCATAAAAATTAAGTTGCTATGAGAATTTAGGAAAAGTGGCATGATATAGCATTGTTTACTATTAGCAAAGAAAAACTTGAATAAAATTTGATTATACTTTGTGTTTTTAAGTTTTTAGGTATATGCGTATTATTGCATAATTATGTAATTGTATATAATATATTCTATATATATAATTATAAAAAATGTTTACTAGTTTTCGATTTACACATAATTTTGCCTATATTGTGGGACTAATATTTAGTTTATGTGTATTTTATATGGATTTGTAAATAGTAGTAAGTGCAATAATCTATATAATCTTTAGATTATAACTGAAATTATTTTATTATTTTATCATAAGTCAATTTCAAACTATATATGCAAACTAACGAACAGCAGATATATCTACAAGCCAAACACACAGTGTTCAATATGTGCAAAATCCAAACTATATGTTATATACTATACTATGCTATATACTAAATGTTCACTGGGCCCTGACCATTGTTCATCGTCATGGTATCTAGCTGATGCAACATTGCTAAGCACAGGTGAATATAATCAAACGACCAATTAGTGATTAGATTGATGAAGCGTCAAAGGACAGTACGAATATACAGGCCAAAGAACACATACAAGCGACCATCACATAGCTCTCGTGTGAACAACGAGCGCTCACAACAGTAAGATTTAGGCAATTTTAAACATTATTTTATATGAATGTTTGGTGTTTACAGTTTAAACTATTAGCAAACTGCATAACTGCTTGTAGTTTTATATTTAATTGTAATTTTTTGTCTGTTTTTTGCATTTTACAGAAAATAATTCAAATTCGAATCTGATTTAAAAACTATGAAACAATTATAATGTTATCAAGATCTGCAAAAAAATATCATATATTTTTTGGTGAAGCTCACAAGTTACCAAACGTTTACTTGCCAACGCATACTTGTTTGAAATGAGTTATGAAACTGAGCCACTACTAACTGTCTTTAAATGACTGGCTGATAAACTCTTGCAAGTATGGATTAAAGCATCAATCCCTACAATAACTCTTCAAGGGATAGAAATCCATTTGGAAAAGAATATAGGTGAAGTTCAGAAAGTGACGTGATCAAAATCTGCAACACTCAAAAGAGAAGAAATATAAACTAATCTTAATAAACTGTTTGATATTTGTTCACATAAATGCAAATAGTTTTTATCTTGCTGCTGCCCTCTTAATATGAAGGTAGCAGCAATTGAGCATAATTTTCTTACAGATCGATGATCTTACATATACATACATTCATACACATACATTCTTACAGATAATGATCTTACAGATCAGCACACTGCATGTATTGGACGAATAGCTGGTGTTAACAAGAAGGAATCTGCACTTGCTGAAAGGCGTTTAAAAAGGAAATCAGTGTTAAGTTCAACAAATGAAATCAGTAACAAATGTGTCAGAGTAGCTGAAGCATCAGATAATGATACAGTTCAAACAACTAGTGATTCTGACACTGAAACTTATTCCCCATTGTGCATCAGATGATACATCAGATGAAATATCCAAAACTTCTTGTCTCAAAAAATATTGTCTTAGAAATATTACATTACAAACAGATGAGTTTGGCATTTCAAATCGTGCAGTTGCTCCATTAGTATCAGCAACTCTTGTTGATTTTGTTTTAGAACATATGGGACCAGTTGATCGCAATAAAATTTGGAGAGAAAGAAAACTTCTGAGATCAGTATATAAAAATACTGATTGCAAGATTTCTATGTTGTATTTTGATGGCAGAAAAGATCAGACTTTAAAACTTGTTGGAGATCGGCAGACTGTAGTTTCTGAAGAACATATTTCTCTATTATCAGACCCAGGATCAAGATTGACCATTCTTCTCCAGAAAGTTGTACAGCTAAATCCATTGCAGAATTAATTCTTGATCCAGTAGACTGTACTAATCTTGTTTGCAGCCACCCATAGTCAACTTTGCTGTTATTGCTGGTGAACCTATTAGTTGTAATAAAGATTTATTAGGCAGTGATTAGCTGTACTTTTTAAAAATTGTTAATGCAGTGAAGACAGGGATTGTACCACAGGGATTTGAATTCAGATTGCTTGGGCGACTAAATCATGCAAGGTGGTTGACACTTGCAAATTGTGTTTTGCGCTTATATATATCTACTGTAGCTCCATCAAATGAACTTACACTATTAGCTAAATTTATTGTGAATTCTTATGCAGTTGTATGGTTTGATGTAAAAAAATATTCAAACTGTTGGAATGCTGCACCACACTATTACAAAATAATACAAACATCACAATTTCTTCCTGTGCTGTACAGAACTGTGGTTCAGCAAGTTTTGAAGTGCAATAGCTATCCAGCTCATATTGAGAGCATTATTCTTGCTATGTTGAAATACAATTGACAACCAAAAGACAACCTGGCTTCAGTCAGATGAAGATATTGTTGTTGATATAGAACCATTTCCATGCCACAATCAAAGTATTGAACGTTTAATTAAAATTGTCACTGAATCTGCATCTTAGGTTTATGGTCATGATAACTGTGATGGCTATATTTGCGTTCTTTTGGATCGTCGAAAATTAATGCAGCACTTTGATACTAAGTCTGAATTCAAACAGATTTAACTAAAATATTGTATTTGTTGTTAATTGATAATATAAAAATCATGCATTATTAACATAATTTATTTTTCTAAAAGTATTAAATGTTCAATAAATAAATGATGTACTAAATATTCAATAAATGATATGTTACAAAATGGCATTTTTAAGTAAATTTTCAAAGATAAAAACACAAAGTATAGCAAAGTAATAGAGAAAAATGGTTTGCAACAATAGATTCAGTATATTTGAGAACCACTAAATGCATATTCTCTAAGGAATTGATCAAAATTTTTGAAGTTATGATCCAGCCTAATGTGTGTATATATATATATATATATATATATATATATATATATATATATATATATATATATATATATATATATATATATATATATATATATATATATATATATATATATATATATATATATATATACACACCTATATATATATACACACCTATATATATATACACCTATAGATATATATACAGAGCCAAAAAGATTTGACCAATCATAATTATTGTCAATAATTACTTATAAATACAAGAAATGTGTGCTGGCAACATATTAAACATAACATGTTTTGTGGGTGATTGCATACTTATCAAGCTATAAATAGTTATTAGTAAAATATTTTATTTCGAATAAAATTATGTTTTACTCAATCATTATTACCTTAGAGTATGGCTGCTACATCACTTGCTAATCATTCACAAATACAACTGTTTATAGAATATGGCAATTTTGAACAAATAATTGTTGCACATTTAAAGACAACTTTTCATGATATCATTCAGTGCATCAACTCAACAAATGGCATAATCCAAGAAAATCCGGTGGATGGCAGAGAACCACAACTCTAAAAAAGACTGAAACATGATATACCATTTGGCTGCAATGAACATACAGATCAAGTTCTCATAAAAACTCATTTGCCTCCTAGTGTGAATGTTTTTCTTTTTAATTCTATTCACCTCCACAAGGTCAAAAGTCTCTACAATTAAGGTGGCTCCTTTTTTTGTTTTGTTAGTTAATGATACAATGGTAACTAACAATTCAAATACTTATCCAAGGATTTTTATCTTTTTTTTTTATCAGTTTTTAGGTCACTGAGGGACCTGTGCTACATTAAATCCCCACCCTTCTCAAAAAAGTATTGTAATTTTCTTAAACTTTGAACACTGATTGCACTGTTAAAATGTGGCAATGTTTCATGTTCTTGAATGAAGCGCAAGTTTAGGAGTTTGCTAAACACAATTTCAATGTTTGCTGGTAACCAAACTCATCATTCAATCCCTGATATGTTGTACTTTCTGTTAATCAATATCCAGTAGTTATAATTTAGGATGAGATCATTTTTAGCAGTTGTGCTGGATTGTACCTTTTACAATCATGTAAGATTTTTAATTTTGCAGGCTATTTGATAATTTTAAAGAACAATCTTTTTAATTGGTTTCAAATTAAAAGATTTGATATTTTCTTTCCACAATTGGATAACTTGATATCAGCCAATTATTGTCAAGACATAGCTCCAAGAAAATGCAATTAAAGTTTAAACCCCATCAAAAATGTTAATAATAAATACATACTCTATCCATTTAAAAAACTGTTTTTTTTTAAAAGCATTATTTGGTTGGATCTTTTTGGCCATAACTGTTTAAATATATATATATATATATATATATATATATATATATATATATATATATATATATATATATATATATATATATATATATATATATATATATATATATATATATATATATATATAGACACACACGCACACTTAAAAGAATTGATGATGATATATATATATATATATACATATATATATATATATATATATATATATAAACATATGTTTTACTTTTTATTTTTATCTTTTTTTTTAAATGAAGTTTATTTTCTATTTTTTTTTTTATGATTTGCTGTAACATTTAAATATGCAACAAATATGTGTAAAATTTGGAGTTAAGTG